TGCTTCTCGTTTGACTGCATAAATTCATAGAGCTATGGCCTCCACAGCATTTTACGAGACTGGTGGTATTTGTCATGCAGTGGCCGCTTAGACTGGGCCGCGGGGACTCGCTTCACCAATTGGCTCAATAGCATGACAACTGCACAGTTTCACACGGCCAACGAACGAGCCACCGCGACTGAAAGCGAGCCGGAAGAGAGTGCCACATCGGTCGAATGGAGCAATCACGAAATCAGATGAACAGATCCCAAACCACGATATCTATGGCTCGACATGATCTCCCCTTCAGACTGAATGGATCTGAATTGGCATTGCTGATGAGATACGTCCCACCACACTGGCGTGCTAGCCTGACCTCGTCCAATAACACCATTCAGATGTTTCTACATATACCGAAGAGTCTGTCACCGTCAGGCGGCAGGTCATCGTAACCATTCCGGCCGAAATTTGAGTACTGCACCAAGGGAAAGTAATTCGGTAGCCCATCGACCGGAACACAGAGCCATCGCACGGACACAGACGGGACGTTTTAAGTAGAAAACTTTTTTTATAAATTGCGTGCAGTTCCAACGTGTCAGACAGTCACCTTATTTGGGGGCATAAGATATGCCACCGGATAGTACTGGTCCTATTCTATGATTCTATTCTATTATATGGTTCTAGTACTGGTACTTCTCTTTACCGAACCGCCGCCTGCTAGTGCATGTCTGGACGGAATCAATCCCCTCCTACGTCTGCCAGAGAATCCCTGTCTCTTCACACACCCAGAGCACGGCCTAAGCACGCCGGAGCACGCCACTGTCCCGGGTCGGCGCGGCTCCGGCTCCGGTCGTCCGAGCGCGGTCTCCGGCCGTCTGAGCGCGTCTCGGGCAGCCCGCGTGCCGGTAGCTCATGCAACACACGGCCGGCAACTTGTGAGATCGGTCACGCACCTCGCCGAGCGATTGCGTGTCGGTTTCCTGTGCTGTTGCAGACACGCACGCGGCGACGCATGCTGTTGATGACAAAAGTTGAACGCCCTGGGTGGACCAACGGCAATGCTTGTGACGCAGCATTTGGTGATGGTGGATAAGTAGAGCGTGAACTGAATTCGGAGTCAATCAGCAACAGGTTGTCGTAGGTCGCTGCTAGGTCAGCTATCGCGAGTTCGCTCATAAAACCAGGCGATATGAACTGATCCAACGCTGCGGACGGTGCTGGTGAATCAGGACAAAACACATGGACAAACGCAATGGAGGGCGACCAGCGGATAAAGTCCACCGACGTAAAACGGCCCACTATCGGGTGACAAGTAGGCACATAGAGCAAGGAAAGCAAATAGCCTATCGATACTGGATAGCCAACTTCCCGCTATGGTCGCAGTAGCACCAGCCCAATAGCCTTTGTAGAGTGTAGTCATGCGTCGAACAAACCGACGCCTCGCAAACAATTTCCAATAAGCAGGATCATCTGACAAAACCATCGTTCCACAACAAAGACCCACACAATCAATCGGCTCAATCTTTTGCAGAATTCAAAGAAAGCCACTTAACCACTATGTGTAGCGAATTACCCTTCAACCACAGACGTCGTCTATCCTATCTTTTCGGACACAAATGTGGACTAGTTCCGACCCCACAATAAAGCGAGCACGCGGTCTCCACTCCTGAATACGTCTCAAGAATACCATCCGCTCCAGACCGTCTCCGAGACATCATCTCCCGAAGACCCCCCGGAATAAAGTCGACTTCGAACACCACTGAGCACATAGGGCGGCGACGGCGGCGGCGGAGACGGCATAACAGAACCGTCACTCAGCCCGCAGCATCCCAAACTGAAGGCGGCAGCGGCGGCGGCATCATTACTGGGCCATAACCGGCGCGGCGGTGGCGTGGAGCGGCGCGGCCCGGCGCCTCGCGGGTCTCCGGGGACCGAGTCGGACTGATAACGGCCGACAGACGGCCTGTCGGGAGCCGGGACCGAGCGGCGCGAGACGGGAGAGGCGACACGAGACGGAGAGGCGGGGAAGTGGGAAACGGAGACACCAGACGGCGCAGGGAGAGACGGTGATGTCAGAGGGGAGAGGTTAGAAAGGATGGGATGTAACAGAGAATAGAGGAGAGGCAATGCGAAATGGATATGAGAAGGACGTGGTGAAGAGTAAGTAATGCTCCTAATTTCTTCGATGAAAGCGATTCGAAAGTCGTAGCTCGCTATCGCGTCAGACTGATGTCATTATGACCTTTCAAATGCATCAAGCCTCCATTAAATCCTATCTTAAACATCAAAAGGCCGAGCCCATGGATGGAGGATGAGGCTGTGAAGGAGGCGATGGCGGCCCGTGATCTGGCCCGTGCCGACAGAGACTGCACCCCGTGTGAGGAGACCAGGGAAGAGTACCGTGTGCGCAGAAACGCTGTTAAGATGACAATAAACCGTGCGTGTTCCTCTTTCTACGAGACGTCTTTCCGGAACTCTCGGTCAAAGACCTGGAAGGACATTCGCCGTTTCCTGGTGTCCTCAAGCAAGTCGGTGGCGGCGGGAGTGGCAACACGGGATCCAGAGTGGGCGGACCGCCAAAACCGATTTTTTGCATCGGTCGGACCAAATGTTGCTGACGCCATGACCAACATGGACGTGGGAGAGATGCTGTCACCGCGCCCGCCTCGCGTGTGCAGTGGCTCGTTCAAGCCCCACCCCGTCACGCTTCCCGAGATCTCAGCAGCACTGCAACGGATGGGAGCATCGCGAGCGAGCGGTGAAGACGGCATCACCGTCCACATGTTACGGCTCACTTTCCCTGTGATCGGTCCCCAGCTGCTCAAGCTTGTAAACTGTTCTATTGTCAGCTGCGACCTGCCCATGCAATGGAAATCTGCCACTATAACCGCACTGCATAAAAAGGGTGATATTGGCGATCCGAACAATTACCGCCCAATATCTGTTCTCCCTACTGTGGCCAAACTTTGTGAAAGAGTTGTATGCACTCAATTGATGTCTTACCTGTCAGATCATCATATTCTATGTCCACAACAGTATGGTTTTCGACCCGGCTTGTCCACTGAGGCGGCCCTGCTTGACGCTGTCACGTTCGCAACCGATCAGATAGACAAAGGGATGGTGACGTCACTCGTCACCGCGGACACCTCCAAAGCTTTTGACAGCGTTGAGCATGGCCGCCTCCTGGACAAGCTGGGGTGGTACGGTATTTGTCCGGAATGGTTTTCTGCGTGGCTGTGTGACCGTACCCAGATCGTGCGTGGAGGGACCGATGTGCAGCCTGTGACGCACGGCGTAATACAGGGGTCCATTTTGGGCCCTGTCTTATTTTTGCTGCTAACAAACGACCTGCCCCAGCATATACCATTTGGAAAGCTAGTTATGTACGCTGACGACTCGCAGTTCCTTGATTCAGATTATTCTTCGAACATTCAGGCTTTGAAAAATCGCATTGAACGATCTCTTTCCGTGGCCCTAAAATGGTTCACTCAAAATCGTCTTAAAATCAACCCATCTAAAACTGAGTTTATATTACTGAGGTCCAGACGTCAAAACGTAGACATGGATCTGTCGATCAACTTCGGTGATGATGTGATTTCGCCATCTCATTCCGTCAAGGTGCTTGGTGTCGTCATCGACTCGTACTTGTCATGGGAGGACCACGTCTCGTCTATCGTTCGTCGCTGCTACTGTGTCTTAGTGGGTTTAGCAAGAGCGCGTCAGAAACTGCCGAAATGTACCAAACGGCTTTTAGTAGAAGCTCTCGTCTTCCCACATCTACAGTATTGCATTGCCGTCTGGGCCAACTGTAATTCATCCCAGAAAAGGCGCATCCAAAAAGTCATAAACTTTGGTGTTCGCATTGTTGCTGGTCTCAACCGTCGCGATCATGTCACGCCTATACGTCGCGAACTGGGGTGGTCCAGTGTTGACGAACTGATTGTCGAGCGTGATATTGCTGCCATGCGCCACCTGATCACTGCTCCGGCAGCGTCGGAGCTGCTGCGTGAGCGGGTCGTCCGCCGGTCTGATGTGTCGGCCCGGTGCACCCGGGCGACGGCGGGTGGTCAGCTTCACCTGCCCAAGGTCCGGACAGCGTTTGCCCGACGTGGCTTTTTCTACCGTGCAGCTAGCACTTGGAATAGCCACATGTGACTCAGTTTCATGTGATACATTGGTAGCGTACGGAGTCGACATTTTATGATGTAATAGGTATGATCTATTTTAACTGTTTTATTGCAGCATTGTGGTGTACTTTTGCATATTATGTAACTGACGTGGGTACCAGAAAATCCATCTTATGGAGGATCCGAATAAACTATCTGTATCTGTATCTGTATCTGTAAAAGCCCGGCGTAACCAGTAAGCAGAAAGCCACAACATCCCAACAGCACACCGCGTTACCCTGCGCAAGCCCGCCATCCGCACGCCGAACCGGGCCTGCCAGCAGCAGCAGCAGCGGCACTGCGGCCCCCGGGCACCTCCAATCGGCGGCAGAGGCGGCGGCGGCTGAGTAAACTGCCTCTGACGCCGCCGCCGGCCCATCACCAGTCGAGCCAGCCGCAGCGCACACACCCCGGCGGCACGCCGGTCCGCCGATCAAAGGACGGCTCCGGCCGGCCGCTCAGCCGCTGACAGCCAGTCGAATACGGGAACGGACCGCCGGCTCCACACAGCACTGATCGAAATTCCGAGCGGAGCAACAGACTACACGCCTGATTTGGCAGGTGGTCCAGACAATAGAAGAACAAAGTAGACCCAACTGCTGTAAGGATGACTGCAGAATAAATTCAAGGAGTGATGGTCGTTAGTGATGCATTCGAAACCAGTTTTCAGCGCCACTCAGAATCAGCGCGACAGGTAGATTGTCTATCATAAAAGCAAACAGTTGAATCAATGATTACGAACACTGCAAAACGGCCACCACTGATTGTCAGCTGGGTAGTTGTAATAGAAACGCTGAAATTGGTAACAACAAGTGCAACCAAACGCTATAAAAGGCAGTGCATTGTGGTACGTACCCAAAGGATCCAGTGAGCGCAGATCCAAGTCCCCGTTGCCGTATCGCGTCCTGAAGTGCTGCTGCTGGGGCGGCGGCTGCGGTGGTGGCTGCGGCACCGCCGGCGGCGGAGGCGGCGGCTGGTGCAGTTGCATTTGCTGCTGTTGCATTTGCTGCTGTTGCAGCTGCTGCTGCTGAAGTTGGTACTGCTGTTGCTGTAGCTGCTGATGTTTCAACTGCTGCTGCTGGATGTGATATTGCTGCTGCTTTTGTAGGTGTTCCTGGAGTAGTTTCTGTTGCTGCTGCTGCTCCTGTTGCTGCTGTAGCTGAAGCTGCTGCTGATGCTGGTGCTGCAGCTGCTCCTGTTGCTGCTGCAGCTGCAGCTGGAGTTGCTGCTGCTCCTGGTGCATCAGCCGCTGCTGCTGCTGCTGGCTGAGATACGACTCCACCTCCCTGTGGCGGGTCGGGGTGATGTTGTTCGCCACGCGGCCCTCCTCGGGCGTCACTCCCGGCGGCAGCGGAGGAGGAGCTGCCGGCTGTCTCCGCTCCCCCTCCAGCTGGCTCAGGTGGTGCCGGATCAGCGCCGCAGTAGCGTCCGCCGGCGCCATCACCGGCGGCGGGGCCGGCGGCGGGGGAGCGTCCTCCTCCCCGTCAGTCCTCTCGCCGTCCGACAGGCCGTCCTCCAGCACCGGCATGGCCGGGCAGAGCCGGCCGCTGGACGGCAGGCTGCCCTCGGACAGCTCAGACTCCACCTCGCCGGAGTCACACTCGGTCGTCTCCGGCGACAGCGTGAAGTTCCGGCTGGGCTCGGCGGCGGCCGGCGGCGCCCGCTCCACACTGCTCCGCTCCGCACTGGTCCCGGCACACTCAGAGCCCGACTGGGCGACGGCCGGCCGCGCCGCCAGCTCGGCAGGCCGGTCCGGCGCCGCCGCGACACCCGATAGCACCGCGGTCGGCGCCGCCGCCACCGAGACCGGCGTGACGGGCGCGGCGGCCGGCGGCACTGGCACAGAGTCCCCAGAGGCGAGCTCCGCCAGCGGCGGCGCCAGATCGGCCAACGAAAAGTCACCGGGCACCGGCGCACTCTGAGTCATTTCGCGCACCTCGGCCGGCCAAAAGTACTGTCCGGTCGGCTCGGCCTGCTCCACCACCTGTCTGTCGGGCCAGCGCGGCTCCTGGGCCGGCTCGCGCGGCGGCGCCGGCGACTCCTGCCACACGCGCTGCGGGAAGCCGGGCCGGCCGGCGGGCCGCACCACCGCCGGCTTGGGTCCGTACCGGCGCGGCGAGCCCTCGTAGTCGGCGATCGGCACGGAGCCGATCAGCCGCTGGGTGTCGGGCGGGCGCGGCGCCTCCTCCGGCGCGGCGCGGCCGTTGGTCTGCCGGGTGACGGCCACGGAGGGCACGGCGGGCGCCGGCGGCGCGCAGCTCACCTCGCCGATGCCGGCGCGGCCGTCCACCGGCGTGTCGCCCACGTCGAACCCGTCGCCGGCCATGCCGACCGAGCCGCCCAGCGTCGTCTCGCGGATGGGCTGGAAGCCGAGGATGGCCAGGTGCAGCGAGTTGGTGGCCTCGGCCGGCGGCGGCGGCGGCTCGGCCGGCAGTCGGCGCTCGGCGCGCGCGCCCGGCTGCGGCCGCCGCTTGCCGGGCCGGCTGCGGCTCTGGCAGAACAGCTCTCGACCGCCGGCCAGCTCGATGCGCGAGTCGCGCGCCGCGCTCGGCCGGCCGGAGCTCGAGTCGGAGTCGGCGTCACCGGGCGGCTCGCACGAGCCCCGGCGCACCACCTCGTCCATGACTCCGGCGGCGGCTCCGGCTCCGGGCGCGGGTCCGGGGAAGAGTGCGGCGCCGGGCGCGGATGCGTCGGCGGGCGGTTCGCTGAGGTCGATCAGGTCGCGGCTGCTCACATGGCCTCCGGGCGACAGCTGGCCGCGGCACTTGGGGAACAGGCGGCTGATGTCTTCCTCTCCGTAGCTGAGCAGATCAGCCATGCCGCGACATGTTGGCCCAAATACGGACACCTGCCAGGGCAGGGACACAGGTCAGACCAGGTCAGACACAGGCCAGAATCAAGAGAAGCATTCAGCGATGGCCGAGGAGGTCCAAAAAAAGACAGTGTGCATTGCAGTAATATACAACGCCAGTTCCGGCCGATGCGTCCGTATTATGAGGGCTATAAAATCAAATTTCACGATGCTGCGGCCAATAAATAATAAGGGGCTATTTTGAATTGGGTTGATTAAGCGAAATTACCGGATATCATAAATGGACGGCAGAAACATCAACTTTATGGCCGATAATGCACAAAATTAAGCCAATCTGAGCCATAATGACGCGATGGAAAAGGCTCGATTTCGCCAGTACAGGGACAGATTCAGGTCAAAGCCTATCGGCACCCGAAAAGGGTAGGGTCAGAAGCCATTAAGCCAATATTGAGTGTAAGTAGTGTAATCTGTTGTCTCGCAAGCGTCAGCGGCCAACGGTAATAATGTCGCGGTACAGTACCAAATGACTTCGTATAAAGGTTTTTCACAGTGCGTCACATTCCAGAATCCAGACACTATGCCGATCGCCACTACTCGTTTTCATGTTAAGCAGTAGCAGGAAAAAATATATATATGTAAGTAGTTTTACATCACCACCACACGCGAAGTAAAATTTAAATCGCATTACCTCAATCTAAAGCGAACATTTATCACAGGCAGGCAAGAGCATGGGCGTCGCCACCACTACGGACACTACGGACAGTGTCCGTACAAGTTTTGGAAGGTCCCAAAACTTGTACGGAATGTCCGTACAAGTTTCGACGACCGAAAGTGAGCTTTTTGCATCATATTCAAATTACAAATGCCGTAAAAGCATTATCAATATTGCTATTTTTCTTGAAAGTATTCAGGATGTTTTAGTTTTGACAAGGAAGGAAGCAGTCTTTATCACATTTATTTCGATGCACATCTACCAGCTCAATGACTTGTTCTCTTTCAAATGCATTTGTAGATTAGGTGCCGATCGATTCCAGATGATCACACAAGCTTAAAAGAATTCGCCTAACACTGCGGAGCAGTTGGCAGGGGACCTCCCCCTAGCCCTGACACTCTCCTTGTTGAGCAGCAAGAAATACGGAAGGGCAAAGTCAGCAGACTGCAACTGACTAGACCGGGTCGAACCGAACTGAACAGAGTAAGGTAAGGGTAAAGGGCAGGGATGTAAAAATCGAAGACAGGCCGGGGTTCATAGGCGGCGGAACGGGGAGGGCACCGGGGCACCGTGCCCCCCTTTGATTTTGGCATTTTAACATTAGCCCTATGGACGTTGCATGGAAAGAATGGGACCAAAAGTCGGCAGTGCCCCCCTTTAATTGAAGGTGTTCCGCCGCTACTGCCGGGGTTGCTAGGGAGAAAGGAGAATGAAGGGCATATAAGGATGGTTTTGAAGATCATGGACCGCTCACTCGTCAGGAAAAGAAGTGCACGACATGCAAGGGCATTGACGAATGGGAAGGGACTACCTAGCTGGGGCATCAGACAGAGAAGGCGCTGGGTCGGGCGGGGCACGGGAATCGACAGGGCGAAGGACAGGACAAAGATCAGGTAGGGATGGTGGAGTAGGGTAGGAGATATGCAGGGGATATAGGACATGGCATATGCAGGACAGGAAGCAGACAAAACCAGGCACAGGCAAGATAATGCACAGGATAGAGCAGATGCAGACATGTAAAACACTGGGCACATGAAATGACGGTAGGTATAAAGTACGAGACAGAGCACGCCTTTGCCATGGACAACAGGACAGGGGACAGCGCGGGGTACATGGAACAGAGCGCAGGAAGGACACCTACACAGGGAAGGACAGAGCTCAGATAGGCAAGGACTCAGGAATACAAGGGCCTGTGAGAAAGAAGACTATGTCCTTCAATATGGCCATGTGAAGAGATCAAATATCGCTCTAATGTGGGTCCCACAAATGTTGTTGTACAGCGCTATTAAACACCGCGTCGCGCGGCTTCGCTAGATAAGCCCGGACCGGAGCCGCCCCTGCGGTGCGTTGAGGCCCTCTAGTTTGTCCGCGCTGGGCTCGCCCGTGCGACCCGACCGCGGCCGCGGGGCATTGGCGGAGTCGGCCGGCTGGCCGGCTGTGCTCGGCGCGGCGGGGCATTCGGTGTGCGGCGGTGGTTAAATACAGACTGTGCGGACTTACGAGCAGTGTGAGTGAGTAAGGACCTCGGTAACAATGTCACATTCACGCTAATCAGAAACAAGTATAGGTATCATTATTTGGAGAACGCAAGTGTTTCCCATCGAGCGGGCCCAAGCGACGTGGAGCGATATTTTAATACGGGGAAACCGTAATCGGAAAGAATGAAGAAAAAACCGAAAGTGCTACTAACGTTAGTGAAAATGTTGTTCGTGCTGTTGTTCATGATGAGCACAAAGTTTGAAACTTCGAGTTAGAACTGTCAACTGACTGATGATTGATCTCAGCGATCGCTGGCCCGACATTCTCCAAGGCATGTCCTGGAGCCCTCAGAGGTCGACACAGGCTCTCAGAGTCAGGTGGGGCCCTCAAAATTCTACTAGGGACCTTTAGAGGCCGGACTGAGGCCCTCAGAGGCGCATGCAAGGCTAGGCACTCATAAGCAATGAATGGGTCCTTTCGAGGCAGGTTTGGGCTCCCGTGAGCTGTAATGGGGCATCAAGAACTGCATGGGAGTTAGAGAGCTCAGCTGCGTTGGACCCCTAAAAGTCGGCGTGGGCTCCTAAAGGTCGCCTGGAAGCTCGAGATATCTGTGTAGCGGTCTTCAAAGGTTTATATAGGCCCGCCCCTCGGTAGCCACTAGCCAGGGAGGGCCCTCAGAGGCCAACAAAGACTCGCAGGAGCTAACGCTGTATGTAAGGGCCTGAAGCCATTTAAAACACCCAGTCATCAGGAAATAGAAATTTTTCCTTTTCTTTTTGATGGGTCCATGGTTCAAGGAGCGCTTGCATATTTGCGATATGTGGATGTAGGAGGTTATGTAGACGTAGGATGTGTCTGCAAAAAGATATGTTTGATTCTCAGGTATTCCGGATTGGGATGCCAGAACACATCCTGTACCCTATTATACGAGATAAACAGGAGTGCTTATCTACCTGCGCAAGCATTTCCTCATTCTACTGCATTTCGATAAGACAATTTACTCGTTACGTTAAAAGTGTCCCATTCATGATTCAAATTTGATTTAGGCTATTCAAATTCAAATTTGATCTCTCGTTGAATACACCATGCAAAACGCATAACGTTTGGTACACTGTAGTGAGATAACAGTATTGTTTATGGGGTTAACACTTCTGACGAATGAGACAACCGACATAATGTGTCCGTACAAGTTGGGGAGCCGTGGCGACGCCCCTGGGCAAGAGCATTGTTTGTCCCGCCCAGACAGCCATCCCGAGAAGCTTTTTGATACGGGACCCTAATGAAAGGCACTCCAGACAGTTTAATCATATTGTCGCAAAAGAGAAAATTCAAGACCAGCCAGACGAAATGGAAGATGAACATAAATTGCATGTAATAAGACGCTGCAGCGAGAGCCACGAGCAAGACGTCAACATCGTCTTTCATCGGGCACCGTGCCTCCCGGATGGAAATAGATACGGAGACGGCATATTTGTCGTCCGGGCCGTGCAGAAGCGAGAGAGCTGTAAAAGGTGCTCCAGGTACCGCAGATGGTCCCAAATGGCACAATGCAGGTGTCACGGTGGGCGGATCACCACTGTTTAGAGATGTAAAAATCCGCCTTCCTGGCGTCCAGGTACGGTAGTGTTGTCTAACCACGCGAGAGGAATGACTCAACAGAAGTTCAAACTAACTTGCATCCGTGGTTCGAAACACAATGCACATCCCCGTAAAAAAATCAAATTAAAGAACACCCATGATAACCAAACAAGACGATAAGAAAAAAAAACAGGGAACTGCTGAAGGGCCACAAAGTATACAGACTGGATCCCATTCCCATTAACTACCCTGAACTTATGACCACTGCAAAAACTTGGCGGCATTATCCCATTAAGAACTGTGCAAACGCCCACTGGAGCGGGGAAGCCTGAACCAACAAAGTTCGTTTGTTCTTCCGGTCCAGAGCCGACACTCGGCTGTTAAAATCGTCCTCCTTTCAGGTCTCCAGAACCGAGGCCAGTGACCTGGTGGGTGTCACCCCCCCCCCCCCTCCGAGCAGCCCCAACCACCCAGGGTGTCACTCGCAGGCCTCACCAATATCCCCGGCGGTAGCAGTCGCGGAAAGGACACCTGGCGGCGGCGGCATGGTCAGAGCCAGCGCCGATCAGCCTCTCTCTCCTCCAGCCTGCCACCCACACCGACAGCAGGGACTGCTGAGGCAGGAGCAGCAGCGGCAGGGACTGCCGGTACAGGAGCGGCGCCCGCCACCGGCCACTGCAGCTGACCGGGGCGCGGCGGCACCGGTCCGTCGCCGGGGCAACAGCGGCGCCGGGGACACAACAGACCGGCCAACAGCAGGCGGGGCCGCCGGCCGGTCGGGTCGGGTCGGGTGAGCCACGCGCTGTCCGCGCTGCAATCAATATCGCCGGCCGTAACCGGAGGCGAGCGGAGGTCGGCCGCCCCCGCCCGCGCGGCTCCGGTCCGCTCATCAGGTACTGACGATGAGCAGCTGGTCATGTTACCGCCGGGACCGCCGAGCCGTACCAAACTTAGCGTCGTGACGTGTCGGAGCTCTGAGATGGCCGGCTGGGTCCGGACGTCAGATGCAGCGACAGATGGCGACCAGAGCTGGGCGGGGCGGGTTCGGCCCACACTGCAGCCGAGCATGTCACACGGGAGCGCTTACACGACCGGTCCTGTGTCAATCCTGCCAGCCAGCTGCCCACTCCAAGGAGCTTGTTCAGCGCGATCCCGAAGCAGTCCGCCACTGTTCGCAGATCGAACGTACTTCAGACTCACTGGGGGCCACTAAACTCGCTTCAGTCGCTCTCCACCTTCCAGCGGCTCGCTCCTTCAATTCCCGCGT